TGATTTAATGTCTTAGAATGTAAAAATCAAAAAAATATTTAATTATTGAAAAATAAAAATGTTAAATAATAATTCATTTTAATTTAAAATAAATTTTATTACATACAATTGATAGACTTGCTTTTCATCACTAGCTTAAAAACAAATCTATAAAAGAATTGTTATTATGTATATTGTTTTCATTTATGTAAACACAAGTAAATTATTAAATTTATTTTATATCTAATATACATAATTAAAAATTAATGATGAAAAAAGAAATATAACCATTAAAATGTGATGTTATTCAAAACTTTCTTTTTCAAAAACTTTCCCATCTCATTAAAAACCACACCTTACAATCCAACAGTACATCTCTCTCTCTCTCTCTCTTCACAAAAAACCACCCCCCACAACCCAACACTACACCTCTCTCTCTCTCTCTCTCTCTCTCTCTCTCTAAATAATCCATTTTCTTTTTCCCAATAAAATTTTAAAACTAAATTAGAAAAATACTCATAAAATAACCTCATCATTTTTGTATGCACATTCACAAACATGCATCACAAATCATGTATTTAAATATCTAACACCTAAACCTTCAAACTCAATTATATTTATTTATTTATTTTAAATAGATTACTCTAAATTTTAACATCACATAAAAAATATCATCATAACTAAAAAAAAACATATACATTTAATTTCCATATATAAGTTTATATCCCAAAATAATAATAATAATAATCCTAACCACTAGTGCACTGACCACATTAACAAAATCGGTGACCCCATCAGTCACATCAGAGAACATTAGTCACATCAGTCCTGCACAAGAAGAAATAGTGACAACAAGTTTTGATCCTTCCCCCCACTTATCTTCTCCTCCCTCCCTCCCTCCCTCCACACTCCAATCATATAACTTCCCCATAATATTTAACAGCAGCTGCAGCATCTCCAACAGTTTCTCCCATCGAGATCCAACACCCAAAATTCAATTTTTAAATGGAATCCGAGCCCTTCAAATCCCTCTCCATGGACTACCTCAACCTCCTCATCAACGGCCAGGCCTTCAGCGACGTCACCTTCAGCATCGAAGGTCGTCTTGTTCACGCCCACCGATGCATCCTCGCCACCCGCAGCCCCTTCTTCCGCCGCTTCTTCGACTCCCCGCCCCGCCGAACAAACTCCTCCGGCGGCGCCAGCTCGGTTAACGTTATCCCCGTCAACTCCGTTCGATACGATGTCTTCCTCCTCCTTCTTCAGTTCATTTATAGCGGACAAGTGTCGTTCATTCCTCTTAAGCACGAGCAGAGACCCAACTGCGCTGATACAGGGTGTTGGCATACTCACTGTTCTTCCGCCGTTGATCTCGCGCTTGATACTCTCTCAGCCGCACGATCTTTTGGAGTCCAGGAGCTCGTCTTCCTCACACAGGTCAGCCCTGCTTCTTATATATATAAATATATATATATCATAATTGATTGGGTCAATTCATTAGTATTTTTATTTGATTCTTCATAGATCTCTCAATTCAAATTAGTATATATTAATGGTGGAATACAAACTTTCTTATAAGTTATAAACTAGAAGTTAATTGAAGGAGGGGGGACTAGTTTTTTACTTGGAAATTTTTGTGCAGATGATCCCAATCTATACTGTTATATGGAGATGAGTCTATAGTATTCTGCCCACACTTTGTCTCTCCCTACTTTCCCACAACTAATTTCTTACACCATACAGTGCTTGCTTTTGCAAGACTGTTCTTATGATTAGGTTATTTTAGTTTCAAATTCAAACCCTAATTTTGTTCACTAAGTTTTATTATTGGAAGTGTGAAGTTTTTCATTAATTAATTTCCTTTCTGTTAACTCATGACTTTTATGTTAATATAAATGTTGTGTAATAATATCTTTAATATAAAGGTTGATAACTGATGATCAGCCATCTCTATGTGCTTAACTAATGCAGAAGCAGTTGGAGAACATGGTGGAGAAAGCTTCCATAGAAGACACCATGAGAGTTCTACTTGCTTCTCGCAAACAAGAAATGCATCAATTGTGGAGCACTTGCTCGCACCTCGTCGCCAAATCCGGCCTCCCACCTGAAGTATTAGCCAAGCACCTCCCCATCGAGATTGTAGCAAAGATCGAAGAGCTCCGCATCGAATTCTCGCTATCCCGCCGCCCCTCCTTCCTCCATAACCACCACCTCCCCCTCGATATAGCCGTGGCCATCCCCAAACCTGACGATTATCATCACAAAATTCGACGCATGCGTCGTGCATTAGAGTCCTCCGACGTTGAGCTTGTCAAACTTATGGTAATGGGAGAGGGCCTCAACCTTGACGAAGCCCTCGCGCTCCATTATGCTGTTCAAAATTGTAGTCGCGAGGTAGTGAAGGCCTTGTTGGAGCTTGGTGCAGCGGACGTTAACTTGCCAGCAGGCCCGACCGGCAAGACTCCGCTGCACCTCGCTGCTGAAATGGTGTGTCCTGACATGGTGGCCGTTTTACTCGACCACCATGCCGACCCCAATGCCCGAACGAGCGACGATATCACACCGCTAGATATCCTCCGCTCCCTCACCTCCGACTTCCTCTTCAAAGGTGCTCTACCGGGACTCTCCCACATTGAGCCCAACAAGCTCAGGCTTTGCCTCGAGCTCGTGCAGTCGGCGGTAATGGTGCTTTCGAGGGAAGAGGCGGAGGCGGCTGCGGTGGGGAGCGGTAACGGTAATAATGCAGTTGGCTCATTCTACCATCCATTAATGAGTGCTGAAGGTGGAGATATTAGTAATGAAAATGTGGATAGTAGCCCAAGTTTGGATTCAAAAATTGTTTATCTGAACCTTGGAATGGCGGCTGTGGGAAGGATGGACTGTGATGGTAGCAGAAGTAGGACTCAAGGGCGCAGTGGTGGGATAGGCTTGTCTTCCATTTATTCTCAGCCTGACCATTTCCCATAGCTGCAGCCCACAACAGATACCTTCTTCTTCTTCTTCAAACCAATGGGAACTGTTCTCTCTCTTTATCTCTTATAAATATATTTTATGTACGTGCTGATTTATATTTTAGTATGTATTAATTATCTATATTCTTATGACGTATGCTTACTTCTAAAATTATTAATTAGCCATAATCACACTTAACATTTGGTTGCACCAAACAATAGTCTTTTGCTAAACTTCTGATATTCAATTCAGCATAAATGGTGAATAAAATTAAGATTACAGCTTAATTAAGGCAATTTTAATTTCTTAATTACAATAATAATATTCATTAATACATTTTAAATAAATTATTGATTATAAATCATCTGTTTAACAGCAACTGCAGTATTACTAGATGATAGTTACATTATTACAGGATCTAAATATAGACTAACTGTCTCATCAAATAAGAATTGCGTGGAGTACTTGCTGCTGTTTTGATTGACAGTTTTTCTTTATTTCATTAACCCTTCCTCTTAAGCTTAAATACTATGTTTCTTTCCTCCATCTGTATATCTATTTATGAGGGGTTTTTAGCCATTTTTAGTGCGGGTGGAAGAGCATGTGGTGACTTGTAGGGACATATAAAAAGAAATATGATGAATAAAGGAGAAGAGGACAAGGAGAATCTAAGTGAGGGACTCCCTCCTATTTGCTGTAGTGATGGTGCAGAGAGTTGTGAGGTGGATGCATATCTCCTCATAAAGTTATTGTAAGGGTGGCTAAGGAGGAAGAGGTGGAGTGCAAAATATAAAAGCTTGGCATGGAATCAGATTTTGAGGGAAACTTATGGGACTTGTGTGGAGGGAGAACTTCTTGCACAAGAGTGTGTTTGAATGTCTCAAGTAACTTAAAAGGTAAAAACATGTAATAGTAATTGGCTTTCATTTTAGGAATTCAATCAATTTTAGGTTTATTATGTTGATAGTCGATGTTAAAAAATTAATTTTGAAATAAGAATTTGATGTGGTTGAGAAGAATTTAGAAGTAAATACAAAAATATTTATAGTTCTAGAAGGATGGGAATTAAAATATTTGGTAAAAATTGGCCATGAGTATGAGTTGTGTCAACTTGTTAATTAATTTTTAAATATTAATTAAAATATTTGAATTTCTGATTTTTTCAAATGAAGTTTGACTAAGATAAGATGTTTCTCATTGTTAGATGAAACTTCAATTAATAATGATAATCGACCTACAACGAATAAGTTTGCAAGTCTTAAAGTTAATAGAATTATTTCTAAGATAATCCTTGCTTATAGATTCAATGTTATATTAAAAAGATAGTTGAGATCATTAAGCATCATGGTTAGGATCTAAGTGTTTTGATGAGATACAATTACAAAAAAGTTAGAGATCGATGTCCCACGCATTAAGGAAAAATCTCAAGATATTTAAAGTGTAAGACCAATCCAAATAGAGATAGTTTACTTGAAAAGGAAATAAATGATTTGGATATAACTTTATGCTTAAAATACAAAATAAAAAAAGGTTAAACCACATGATAAGACCAAGCAATAGGATGAAGGTAAAAAAAGTATGACTGTCAAAACATGACTAAATGTAGTATGGCTAAATCTAAAGGATTCCTAAAAGGTATTAAAACAGGTATTGTAAGGTCAAGGGAGCATGAGATTATTGGAGAGTGGTCTCGCTAAAAGAGTTTAACTAAGTTGAAGGCAAGCCTAATAAAAAATATATAATAAAATTGGAGGTAGCTTTTTTTTTAAAAAAAAAAAATTGGAGATAGGTTGGTCAAACCTAATACAAATCAAGAGAGATTTAATCAAAAGTGTATGATTTAATTAGAATAAAATTTTGGTCGTAAGAACTTGACCAAAAGGGTAAGTAGTTAACCGAAAAGCCTTGGCAACACGACAAGTAGACTATGTAAACAAACATGGCTAGTTTAGTAAAAAAGTAAATCAAAAGGGTGCATATAAGAAAATAAAAATGTATACTAGTCATAAGATCATGATTGTACAGAGAATATTTTTTAAGGATGAAATAACATGATTAAGTTCAAAAGAGCTTTAATTAACATGCATAGTGAAGTTAAAAATCAAACCTTGGTATCAATCAATATGATGCATGCATACATTTAATGTAAATAGGGTTGATCAAAGTGGCCTCTAGAAGTGTCTCAATAGGAGTAGTGATATATGGCGTTAATGGAGCCTAGAGAGAGCTGAGAGTGACTATCTTAAAGTGTTGTGTAGGGCATCTTAGAAAATAAGTGCCCTTATTAATCAACCTAGTCATAATAGTTGGTTAACTTCAAAAATTCAGTATATTTTTGACCCATATTAATCGAGCTCAACTACAATACATATATATATATATATATATATAGATTTACTATATATATATCCTTAAATAAAATTTTATTAAGGAAGATTGAAATCTAGTATTTTTGATGTGACATGAAAGATTTGGATGGTACAAATGTAAAATGTAAAGTTTTGATGTTATATATATAAATAGATAGGAATTGAGTGGTATGCATCCAGAAGTCCCTTTTATTAAATGTTTTGCATATATATAATTTGAGAGGTGAAAACTCATGAAAAATATAAAGTAAATCTAACAAATTCAAAGTTGTTGAATCTGATATTTTCAGTGAATTGACCTCAAGGAATAGAACATAAATGAAGAGAGAGAGAGAGAGGGAGAGAGAGAGAGAGATGAATAGTACAAATAGTGTTGTTCCTTCATTAAATGCTTCCGCTATTTATGGAGAATGTAATATAATAGTGATATTATATTTTTACCCGTACTAGGGTCTGTACTGATGTATTTTTTGGTATTTTACAACGTATCATCTAGTTGCCTTTTAGCTTGATTGAATAAGCTTAGTTGACTTGGCTTGACTAAATCAGCTCGATATTAGCTGAGCTCGGTCGGAAGGATGCATGCGCGATTGGCTGATCCAATCTGATTGACTATTTTCAATCTCTGATAAAAAGTCTTTGGGACTTCAATGAATGGTCAAAGATAATGCGTTGAGCTGACTCTTCAATTGAATGAACTCTGATGTGGAATAGGTTACTACATTGAGTTGGCTTTTTTGCAGTTGATGGCTAGAATGCTATCTTATCTCATTTCCTGATCGGATGGCTTATACTTGGATTGCTTAGTCATTTGTTGTTCACTTTTTAACTTGGACGATTTTTGGCCTAAATGACTTGGCTCGTCGAGCTCGCCTCGTCCGGCTTGGTGGGTCTCTAGATCACTTTACAATGGATTTGTCTCCATCATACACTTCTCTTATAAAATGCTAGTTCTCCATAAGATAATTGCAAGGTGTCAGTTTTTGTTGCAGTTAATGGCATAGTCGCTCTCTCCTTCATTTCTGTTCGGATGGCTTGTACTTAGTCCACTTAATTATTTTCTAGTCCATTTTTTTGCTACATCGGAGTTGGCCTAATTGACTTGGCTCGTCTGAATTGGTGAGCCTCACAATCTCTTTGCACGAGATATGCCTCAATTGTATTATTCTCCTTTGGACTAGTAGATCTCTATAAGATCAGTACAAATATCTTTTTGATGTACATATTTTAGTTTCATAATTCTCTTACTTCTTAAAAGTGATGTTGTGATCAAAATGAAAGAATTAAATGCAAAAAAAAATATTTCTAATTCTATTTTAATCAATGACTAAATTATTGAACTCTCCTTGATTTTGAAGCATCTTATGCTTATAAATAGGGAGATGAGACTCCATCCCATGCTTATTTTTCTCTACACTTTTCTTTGTTAGAGTCAGTCGACACATGACATGTTTGGATGTCTCTTTGAGCATCCATGAGCTAGATGTCTCTTCGGGCATGCTTGGGGAGCGTCTTTGAGCGCTCGGGGATAGACATTTACATACTTTCAGAGGAGCTGGCTCTTGAGCATCCATGAGCTAGATGTCTCTTCGGGCATCCATGCTTGGGGAGCGTCTTTGAGCGCTCGGGGATATACATTTACATACTTTCGGAGGAGCTGGCTCACTTCTAAGTGATTATCTCACTCTTTGTGATGTTTTTTGGCATCATCTTTTGATGTCACAGGCGTAGGATGTCCACTCGAACGATCCTAAGGTATGCTTCACACACATATGACTCTCCAAGGCTCGAGATATCCGTCTTTAACCCTCTAGCACATGGCCAAGATCATTTTGCTAGGCTTTGATTGTCAATGAGATGAGGGCTGGCCGGCACTACAATGATGAGATGACCCCGATTAAATGATTTTTGTTTGGCGCAACGTGAATAAGTCATGCCCTAAATTGGATTGCTTGTAAAGAATTATTCATTAGATGACTTCGGATGGCAGAACAGACAACTCAAATGTGTCTGGAACATCATTTTGATTTAAGGAGGACCTTTCAAGTATTGCCACGTGGCTTAAATCACCAAAACTAGGAAACTACCCCAAACCGAGTAAGCATGACCAAGCCCATATGGGGCGTGATCACGCCTAGACATGGCCACGCCACTTGAGGGCGTGACCAGGCTCCATTTGGGGTGTGGCTACGCCACGTACCTTAGCCTTCTGTTTTAATTCAGTTCATTTCCTTATCCCTGTTTTTCCATCCGGACGTCGTCCAAGCACCTAGATAAGTCGTTTGACTAGTCATAAGCCAAAAAGTCCTCTAAACTAACTTGGGTGCTTGCCGAAAGAGGCAGTTCATCATTCAAATCTCAAAATTTGTAAGAATATATTTCTTATAGGGGAAGATTTAGGGAGAGCGTACATTTCACTTGGATGGAGCTAGGGAGCCATCCTAAAGAGGCTGAAGGAGAGTTTTGAAGTGTGCTTAGAGAGCTTCTTCACCCTTCTTCTTCTTCCTCTTCTTCATTCTTCTTCTTCCTCCTCTCACAATTTCTTTCTCGGTCACAGTCTTGGTTCTAAAAATAGAGAGGAAGAGCTAAGCATGGTGTTACATCGACGCTAGAAAACTCTTTCGAGGAGAGCTTCATCACCCGAGGGGAGTACAGATCAATACTTGAAGTATCGCCGGAAT